TCCTTCTCTCCTTCCTTCCCTCCCTCTTTCCCTCCTTGTTTCCCTACCTTCTTCCTTCCCTCCTTCCTATCCCACTTTCTTCTCTTTCTTCTCTCAGAAGGATCTTTTTAAGGCGACATTGGGGTTATAGTTGAGATTCTGCTTCCTCACACCAAGATTATGTGCCTACGTCATTTAAATATTAATTTTACAATCTGAAAGTTGCTGACAAGAAAATGTTTCCATGGGATTGCAATAATTATTAAAGTTGCTTTTCTAAACAATTAGGTTAATTTAAGTACCTGCTACAAGGATTTCCATGTGTGACAAGAGAAATAAAATTGATGTTTCCCTAATTTCCACCCAGATCTTTGGAAAGCAGATAACTATAAATAATTGTAATGAAAAAGAATCTTGGTTTTTATTTATACAATTCCTAATAAAACTAATAAAAAGATCTGCATCTATTCTTTTTCCCTGCCTTTGTGAAAACAGAAGACAGAATCTATAATAGGAAATATGATATGCATAATCTTGCCCTATAAATGGGGAGTTTTGTAACAATGGTGTCTTATTACTGAAAGTACCATACCTTGGTATCGTAAAGGAATTCCTGTACTCCAAGATTTGATTTATGTTCTTCCACATCAAATTCTATCAACTCATACTGTTTTTTCTCCTCTTCTGTAAACGGGGCCACATCATCATATATTCCAGGGATCAGAATAAGTCCAGATGAATTCATGAGACTGTCTATAGAATCAAAATTTATTTATTTATTTATTTCTATGTATCCTGTCTTTATTATTTTTACAAATAACTCAAGGTGGAGAATGTATCCAACACACCTTCCTCCTGCTATTTTCCAAACAACAACAACCAAAACAAATTGTAATAATTATTTTATCTCATTAGCATTTACTGTTTAATGAAAACTAACTAAACTATTGCCTGGCTCTAATCTGCTAAAGGAGAGAGGAAACTAAAAATGTAGATATTATTATGCTAATATACAGTAGATTGCAGACAGAAAATAAAGGAGGGTCATTTTAAAATAGAAAGTAACGTATTCTGATAGGTTTACCTCCCTTCCAAATTGATTTAAACAAAACCAATTTACATTTTGTATAATTTAAATCTATGTATCGATTAATCTTTATACAAACTATACCAGCCCATATAACATCAGTTAACTTCATTTCATGTTTTGATTAGTATTCCACTTCTATGTTTTAGCCTTGCAGTTAAGATCTCCTTAAATATCACAACATTTGGCGGGAAGCCTTTTAGAAGTTTCTCATCTTTTCATATAACATCAGAAATCTGTGTGTTTATGTTGCCTTGTGATGTGATTGAGGGACTTGGTCACAATTCAGCCTCCCAATCATCTGTAGCAGGGAGTCTCCCAGAAGGGAGTTGAAGTTCACAAGTCTTAAATTTGCCAAGTTTGGAGACCCCTGTTGCAAGAGGCTATTAAGTAATGCTGTGAAATCATCAGAAGAACACATTTAAGCATTTTCAACTCCTTTTTTGGTTTTCATGGTAAAGTGCTATGAAATGGAAGACACCGCCCCTCCCATCAGTAAAAAACCTAACAATTCCATATAAACAATATATAATTTTCTCTTTTTTTACCAAGTAGAGCTACCAAATCAGACATGGGCTCATGGATGATGCCACCCGCACTTCCGGAATGAAGATCTTTTTCACCACCTTCTACCTAAATTAAATAAAGACAACTTAAATCATCATACAGACAAAATCAACATTTCAATGAATTTTGAATTTACAGTACTGGTGTTTTATGGGTGCCTGCACCAAGATTAATTGTAAAAAAAAATGATTTGGTTTTTGTCTTTCAATTAGCAAAATTCCTCCAACATTCAAACGTTCTGTTGTCTTTGTTGTATCAGAATTGTTGTTAAAATATCTGCATATCTTAAGCACCACTCAAACGAGAGATATAAACGAGACTGGAAAAAATGGATTGATTATATACAAAATAAATATGGGACTATGAAATTCCAGATAGCTTATGATTAAGATCAGGAATGATATAAATTGTTTAAAGCTAGCTTAGCAAGGAGAAGCAGTATATAAGTCTAAGTGCTATTGCTAATTATAGCTCCTCTCCAGCGATATAAAAATCTGCTATTGCTATTGTGCCCTCAGTTACAATTCTGAATTTGACTGAGAGTTTGTGAATTTGGCTGAAACTTTCTCAGGTTGCTCCTAAAATTTCTTGAGCTTAATTCTATTTTCTAAACATAGCTCAAATTATATCCATTGTTGTTCTATAGTAACCTTCCATAAACTGGAAGGTTTATAACATAAACTGTTATTCTCCATACATATCATAACATTCTTCTCAAAATGTGAAATTATAGTTGTTGCAATCCAATTTATCTTTTGGGCATCAAATTTGGAAAATTAATCTAGAGATAGTGAAATTTGCATTTTATCAGCTTGAAAGAAACTCTCCCAGAATACAATCAGAATATTTTAGTCACAAATAATTTTGGTTTTACCCTTTTACCTCCACTGAGAAACAGGCATTTCCCCTGGCTCCATATGTAAGAGCTGGTTTTGTTCTGGAAAGCCAGGTATTATCTGAAATCAAAATATAGTCAACACTGGAAAAAAATCTTTCATTTTCTTTTTCAACCAATTTTTCCAGTCCAATGGATCCTGCTTCTTCCATGCCTTCAATAAGAAATTTGATGTTTACTGGTAAATCCTGGTTAAAAAATAGATAGATTTCCTTTTAAATGACCATTTTAAGAAAGCACTCTCCATTTAATGTCAGACAGAATTATAATGTATAATCTGATGTTCAGTTCATTGCAATGTGGCTTGGATTAGCTTCAACAAAGAGCTTAGTGATTCGCCTCAATAAAGATCTTTGTGGCATTGAGATAAAGCATTTTTTGTTCTCTGGTGTAGAAATAAGCATGATTTGTCTCAACAAATTAGGTGCCTTTGAACTAAATTGAAATCAACCTTTCTTGAATGCACACACAGAAACACACAGAAAGAAACACACACAGAGACACACATTTTAAGATCAAACCAACATTTGGGGTCAAATTGATTTCATTATTCAAAGTGTACATACAAATCAGCTCTTGGCTAATTCACACAGCCCTAGAAATTAGGTTGTTAAGGGCTGCAGATTTCGTACCCAGTTTAACTGGAGAGATCAAAGCTTGAATGGCGTATAATTGACTAAAAGGAAGTGCTCTGTGGACTAGTCTCTCTGAGAAATCACAAGAGGAAAGAAAGGGAAATTAGAAGCCTGGAATATTACTGTCATAAGCATGATCACATGCTGTATCAATTGCATATGTTTCTAGGGCTTGTTGACCTATCAACTATTTATGAATGAGACAACTTTATCTGCTTCAAGTGGAATCTGGTCCTCTTGAGTTTGCCAATATACTGAAAGAATAACTCCCAACTCACTCTCTTCTGTTTTTGATTAACTGTGTAAGAAACTGACCATCTCATTCTGAATTATTCTTTGGTGCTTCCTTTCCTATTTCATAGCAACACTGGAGGGCCAGACTACATTATGATTTTTGCCCTACGTACTCTTCTTCTTTGAAAGGTATCTTTGGATCATCCAGCCTGGGTATGTCCTCCAGAATCTAAGATGATGTGAATTAGAAAATTCCACTTCTAACCAATGCATAGTTGAACTATGAAATTCACTGCCACCAGATGTGTAAAGGGCCACCAGTTTAGAAATAACTGGCACTTTTCATACATTCCATGCTAGGCGAGCTGCATTGGTTACACTTGACTTCTGAGTGCAATTTAAGTTGATCATCATCTAAAAAGTCCCTTCATGGCATAGGGCCTGGTTATTTGAAGGACTGCCTTTCTCCAATTGTCTTTGCCCATCCAGTGTATTCAGGCAGACTGGATGTGCTGTGGGTCCTCTCAAGTGCTGTTATCTTATGGGACAAAGGAAGCATATCTTCTTCTGTTGCAGCCCATGCTCTCTAGGACAATATCATCCAGAGATACATAGGATTTGCGCTCTCCAAATGTTCCTTAAGAACTGGCTCTGTCCCCAGGCCATAGGTTAACATGCTAGTCAACCTCATATCATATATTTTTAATTATTATAGCTGTTTTTGTCTGGGCTGTTATGCTTATGTTTTTAGGTTTTATGTTGGATGTTGTGAGCCACGCCAAATCTTTTGGAATGAAGTAGTTATAACAAATCTAAATAATAATAGCAGCTGGCCACAACAATAGAACATGGGCTACCAAGGGCTAACTATAAAGCTCTTTCAGAATCCAAGGAAAATACCAGTTACTTGGGGAGAAGCACACAAGAGAACAGTTGCATTTGTTTTGCACATGATATTCCATGAGGCCTATGGTTGGCTCCAATGTGATGAAGAATTCCAGAATAGATAAGCATTTAGCCTCTTATGTGAGTGTTGGATCGCTCCTTCTTGATATTTCCCTAATTTAAACTGCCTTCTCCAATTGCTCTTTTTAGTATTGCTGAAAACATTTAAAACTCTTCTTTTTCTACAAGGCCACATTTTTACTTACTATGTTTAGTGCTTTGAATGCGTTCACAGCATTTATCCAGGCTAAGACAGGTCCTTTGTTATCAGTTGCTCCACGCCCATACAGATTTCCTTAAGATAAAGGAAACTGATATTAAAATTTGAAAATTCTGATGATGCTAAAAACAGAACAAAATGTGTCTGTCCCGCCCCCGTCTCTCATGCTCTCCTTCCCTCCCTCCCTCCCTCTTTGTCAGTGGATACAAAGTCAACTGAGGAAGCTTTCTGCTAAGGAATTGGAACAGGGGTGAAATCCAGCAGGTTCTGACAGGTTCTGGAGAACTGGTAGCGGAAATTTTGAGTAGTTTGGAGAACCAATAGTGGAAATTTTGAGTAATCCAGAGATTACATTTAATGCATTAAAGTACAATTCAGGTTATTTTTGTGCAGCTCCCATGCATTTTTAAGAGAATAGTTCCCAGCATACCACTCAGATATGCATATCCTTAGGCCAAAATAAACTGCTCGTGCTTGATATAATCCATTAAGATAATTTCAGCCAATAAAATATTAAGGCTTCATTGCAAGAGAATATTTGTATTCAGTCTCAGTTGAGATTGCCATAGTTCTTCTAGAAGCTTAGAAAATGTTCAACTATGAGAAAAACTACTTTAATCAGAATCGTTCATTTATATCCAGTAATAGCCTAGACAGTTCTAAATTCAGTCACTATAAAATAATATTTCTCATTACAAAAGATTCCATTTTTTTTATTTTCATTATGGACATAATGGAAGGTAGGAAAAATGAAAAGAATATTTCATACCTGTATCACGTTTAGTAATTCTCTTAACAGTTTTCCTCTCAAATCAGTGAGCCGTATTGTGATACAAGCCTATGTGACATCAGATCCGCATACAAAAGGAGCAGTGGGCAGCATATTGCGCAACCCTCACATCATCCTGATAAAACTAGTAAATTGTCACAGTTGCTGATATCCCATCTACTGCAAAAACTGTTCTCCTTGTTGATATGAAGACTATCTCCACATCCTAACCCCATCCCAGCTATACAGCACTGAGATAATCTCAATTTTCCAAAGGCTTGAAAGCAGCTCCTCTGCCATACCCCCCCTTCCCCTGCTGCCTCCCGATCAAACTTTTTGAATTCCTCCCCCCTCCCCACA